CGCCTCCACTAATACCTTCTACCTCCCTATTATAGTACTTATAAATATAAATATAATACCTGTGCCACAATGCAATCCTCACAACAATATCACATCAGTGAAGAGTATGTACAACGCAGTAAAAACAGTGTCAGCGTGACACAGAAAATGTAATCTATTGTATCAAGGAACACACAGAGTATAAGGAATGTAAATAGACAAATGTGACGTACCACGTGGACTAAACAATACAGATCGATTAAGAATATAATTGCGAAAAACACATTCTTGACTATAACTTTATTTAAGTTTATTCAAAAGCCTGTAGTCACATAAATAATGAAATATCTTACACACATTTTGGTTGAGTGCGATTTTGCTGTCTTTTATTCTTTATTTTACCTTTTTTTTAAACATTTTTTTGAAGAGAGGCTGGGCCTGGGTTGCCCACGAGAGGATAGCATGTGGATGATTTGCCTACCTCTGGGGTATGGCAGTCCTATGTGCTAGGATGCCGTGGAAATCAGAATATGTAATGTAGGATGACGGTAAGTGTTGTAAGATGTGTCGTGTATGAACGCTTATGTGGCAGTTGGGTGTGGAAGTGAAAGGTGCGAACTATAAAGACAACGTGTGTTTTTTTATACATTGGTACTGTTAAATTGTTTATTCATTCATGATCTTCCCTTTACTTTTGCAATTTTCTTCGTGCAAAATTTCAGTTGGATATTTTTTTCACTCTTCCAAAAGTCTTTAGTATATTCCTATCGAAAGTTTAGAAAAATATGTCAATATCAAATATGAAAAACGAAAACTATGCCTAAATTTGTTGTTCGACTTTGAGGTGCAAAAGATCAACTTTCCAGTTGAATAAACACATTTTTGAGGGCACCAAAAACTGTGGCAGGATTCAAAGAATAATTTCATTTTAAGCATCAAATTGATTGAGTTATAACATTTCAATAAAACAATTAATATTGTTTTACGAAAAATACATTTAACCAGGAAATGCTCGATTACAGAAATTAGTGTTCCCAATGGTCACTAAACTTCCTGTGAGGTCATTTGGGTCGGAAAGTTTTGGTGTATTAATTATTATATATTATGTATTGAATTCGATTACAAAGCTGGAGTCAGATCTTGTGGAGGTATCTTTGAGAGTCTCGTTAAATTTTAAAACACTCTGCAATTTAACACGGAAACTGGCCGTTTAATGATGGGCAGTATGCAAGAATTGCCCGACCCAGTTCCAGCCATGACCAATCACCATCCAGAATCATGAGTGTAAATTTTCCAAAAGAATTGTCCACTCCCCACTGCAGTTGTATTTGGGCTTTGAGCGAACAACATTTTATCTCCGGTTTACTGTGTATAGACCTGCGCTACGTATCACGATATCAAATGGTCCTGTGTTGCATTTACAATTCAATAAATCAATGCCGCGCCATGGGCAATCGGAAAAACAAAATGGACCAGTGAGAGATTTCAATGACGCAAATATGTTTTTAAACGTTCCAGTCATTACCCAAATAAAGTGTGTCATCGGCCGATCAATTGGGCTTATCGCTGTCAAAGTGTAACAGCTCGTAAGTGTAACAAATCAAAGAAATTTGAACAACACCCGTCGTCCTATGATCGTTACAAAAAGTCATAAAATGGAAAGTAGAAATTATGTGGATGAACGGTGCAACGGAAGAAATTCAATCATACAATAAGATATGACAATAGATCAATCATAATGTAAAGCGACGGTTACTTGATATACGCTGGGGTTTCTTGTGTGTTTTTAATCATTTGTTCGTTGCATTGAGATCTTTTGTGGTTTGATCACGCTATTCGATGTTGTACGCATTACTTCGAATATTAAAATCCTTGAAAATTTAAAAGTTTGTGATAACCAGATATCTAAATTACAAATTTGCATAATATTTGAAACTACTTAAAGATTAATTTACGCTCAGGAAACCTTATCGGCTGGGGCCCATCTCCAAAATTAAAATAAATAGAATCTTCCGGTTTGTTGCAAAATGTTCGCCTTGAAAAAATAACCTTTCCTCCTCAGGAGGAAAATTAGGGACATCGTAGATTTTGAGTTATCCCAAAAAGTCTTGGTCTAATAAAATTAGCAGCTTCAACTTTGCAGATTCTTGTCCTCTGATTGGCTGAATTTTGTCACGTGAAGCTGGAATGCGTCACGCGTGTAATAGACTTAAGCACGGGCGCGAGCATGAGCTTGCTGTGAAGAAAGACGCGATCACCTCTATAGTAAAACGCCCAGCCAGTAAGGTTTGCAGGGTGATCAAGAAGATACAAATATTAAGCACAATCTCCATTGGAGATTCTCCAAATCGATTGTAAAACTATAATATAGTTTAGCCTGAACTATAATATAGTTTAGCCTGATCTTTGGAATTAAAATAGTATTAGCCAAATACCAAATAAACTTTTAAAATTATTAATTGTCAATTTAATTAACACCCTTATACCAACTTTATGTTTTATTTGGAAGTGGATAGGAACATAATTTATAAGTTCATTTTTTTAATGCTGAATGTTCTAAATATCACGTTGATAGAACAAAGGGAAACTGCTTTTTTAGTTGAATGTAGTTGATCAACGGTTCAATATAACTCAGTTTCGGTGTAACTTAGACAACTGATAATGATTAAAAGGATAATATCCGGTAGTTGAGACTAGGTAAGACGAGCGAAACTACTAGGTTTAGGAGGAAACGCAGCTGTAGGTTTCACTTGTCCTACTACCGGATATTATCCTTTGAATCATTATCTTATCATGAGACTGATAAATAAATAGCGAACCTCTCCAGGATCTCATTAGACAACTGACTAAATCACATTACCGGTCTCCGGGACAAATGTAGTTTATCGCTTTTCAAGCTGCAACAATTAAGAATCTTTAACTTTCTTGAAAATTACTGGGAGGAAGAGTAGGATACCACTCAATATACTGTTTAGAATGGTTCAACAATAGTCTATATAGTTTCATACTCTGCCAGTCGAGCATCAAATGAATCAATTCATCCATAAGTGTTATTCGTAATGTTAAAACTAAACGTTAAAAATTGTATCAACTTAAGACTATACGACCTGCTTGATATATTAGTATTGTCTTTTGATTCGAATATTGCCCATTTTCTGCCATGAACCAATTAACTGAAAGTGGCTGTTTTGTCTTATTGTGAAAGACCGCCATTTTATCAATAGGTCAATAGATGACTATGTGTTCAAGATACTGCCGTAAAACTTGTTTGTACCGTGCCTCCCTATAATACCGTTAACGTCGATATACCTGGCCTCTTCTTTTTCCCCAAACTTTTAGCTAATTTGCTCGTTTTGTGCGAGAAAAGTGATTTATCATAGCTCATGTCGCATTTTGTGGCGATTTGAGTACATATTCCATCACAATACGCCACAATTATACGTGTACAATATTGGGGAGACGCTTAACAGCAGGCTATGTGACAGGGTATGCAGACACTGCTAGTGCTGGAGATTGATCATGTAAACCAATCTATACCGGTTTTTTTTCTATAGCACTTTTCGTTTCCCTGGTATAAAGACGTTTGACTGCATTTGTTTCATCATTTCCCTTTATTTCGTGTTGTAGATTACCATGAACGACCAGTATTTTATCACAACCTTGATCTGGTAATTTTGCTCCGATGAGACCCAGTCTGGCTCGATATAACTACAACTATATAACTATATAAGAAAGGTCGTTCGGCTAATTGACTAAATACATTAAAACTCTAATCAAGTAATTTAACGTAACTCCTCGATTCAACAAGAACGAGAACCTGAGAGTAATAAAACTTATGTAATATCATATCACCTTAATATCATATCATATAAAGGATACAATTGTCTGCTCACACACTCAATACTGCTATTTGATAGTTGATGCTTAGGTAATGTTGAGTAATGAGTCGCTTGGAGATCCCTGTGGTACACAGTGGTATAATGGTAGGATCCCAACCCTTACATATAAGCATATATTATAATCAGTACCTCATAGTGTTATAAGGCTTGTGTTATCTACACAATAGGTTCCACTATAATTACCATTGCTATTAGAGTATTAGTGTCATGAGTGTCATCAACTATACGATATCATGATGAGCTGATAATCCGTGGATTAATACGTAGTTCCTCCTCACATTACCTCCTCCTTGTGTAGTCCTTATCATATAAGAGCACATATTTTATAAAAATATCACGAATTGTAGTAAATAATAATTTTTGTTGAACTTTGAACTACGTAGGGTGCACGAAGTGTTATGGCAAAGCTGGTTGTTTTTATAACTGACTCGGAAAATTAGTTGGACAATTTTCTTAATTAACGACCAATTATTCCATGTTTATGATTATGCCACGGAAGATAATTAAATATCCTATCTTACACACATGACATTTTCTTAATTACAATTTTGATCATGGCTAGTTACAAGAAAAATTTAAAATGGTTAGTTTGATACAATTGCAAATTTCCATCGACACAATTCCAAGATTTCTTTGAATTAATTTTATGCCTGATTTACATCATTGTTTCTGTTTTAGATTTTTGGCAATCAGTATTAGTCATCACTCGGTGACATACACTAACTTAAACGGTTAAATTAGTCATAGTCATAAATTTGTCAATCCATAGATTAACTTTAATAATAGGTCTTTTTACTACCGTCGTTTCACTTTTCATTGATGCTGATCAACAAAATCATTTATACACTGTTGACTGTAGTTTGGGAACGGACGGTTAAGCAATTAAATTTGACGCTTTCAACGTTCCAGTATTCTGTCTTCCTGTAACCTAAGCTTGCCGTGATGTTCAAAACAAGCTATGTAGCCGTGATTCCGGATTTAAGGTCTCCGATATCTGTAAGACAAAAGAGAAAAAGTCTGCCAGCTAACTCTGCCGAATTTTCCAAATTCCGACCCAACAGATATGTGAGTGTTTATGACGACCATGATGTTTGCAATTTATTTTTATAATGTTCCAGCTGCTGTGTGCATGACCAATGTGCGGTAGTGATGTTTAAGCCGAGCTATGTTACTGTGAGCCCAACAATGACTCCAATTCCTACGAGGAAAACGAGGAACAAAGGCTTACCCTCAAACTCTGCTGATGTGGCCAAACTTTTACGAACTAGTTTTGTGAGTTTATGGCAGGAACTGTTCAATATTAATTTTTTAAATTCTCAAACACTTATATAAAACAAATGATTTGAGAGGTTCTTTTAAGATGAATAATTTAAAGATTTCTAGAGCCTATATTTTATTCTCGTGTATTGATCCGCCTCTCCAACCAAAACTTATCAATGCAGCCAAGATATTTGCCATTGCATTTAATTGCTTAACTTAGTTTTCAAAATAATCAATAAGTATGGCTGAACTTTTCGATAATTAATCCTTTATGCAGTCAACATGTTAGTTTGCACCTTAATTAAAGTTTAATGTAAAATAATAATGAATACGATGATGTTACATCTAATTACATTGGAAAGTAGAACAATTCCTTATCCTGATAAGAGCCTTTGATAGTCGCAATAAACGGGAACACTACACATTTTGCCACAGAAATCTGTAGTGTACCTGTGTGACAGAGGAACAATTTCAAAGGTAATTCGCTTTTGAAACTTGAGGACAATTACGAAAAGTAAAGAAAAACATTATTAATTCAAGAATTAGTGACAGCTCAAAAATGCAACTCGAATACATATATTTAAAGTCACTATTGTGACGGTACATTAGAACTAGACAGAAATAAAGTGTGAAGGGCCTGAACGGAACCCCTCGATTTCAGTTCCTTGTTTAACACTGCCGTACAGCAAGGACATCCACCGGGTTCTCCAAGGATGGGCACATAGCTCACTCCACACTATGTTCTGTCAAATGTTGCTTATATACCAAGGATCTACAGGAAATATTTCCTTGTAAGTTTTTTAGAGGGCGATCTGTGAACAGACAACTACCTTATTCCCAACTATAGGAACTAAAATTCCTATACTATCCCAACGAGCTACACCAAGCATAGTTTCATAATAGTAGATTGTTTAAAATGCGGTTAAAAAAAAGGAATTTGTCAGAAGTGGGATTTGAACCCACGCCCACATTCGTGGACCAGAGTTTGAATCTGGCGCCTTAACCACTCGGCCATCCTGACATGTTTTAATAATAATTTTGCAAATTTTATACCGCTGAATAGAGCCTGCGTCACTTTATCATTATTTCCATACATGGATTTTGAGTAGCTGCAGGTATCTAATGTCATCCTCTCATGGATAATATAACGTTATGTTATCATCCATAATTGTAAGAACACTGCAAATTTTGCCACAGAAAAACGTAAAATTATAAAGTAAGCTACAAAATTAATCTGGCAGTTAACTGCAGCTGGTCAGCCAATAGCGAACAATAACCGCGAGACGATCACGTACCTTGCAATATGGCCTTTATATGGAGGATGGAGGAAAAAGATCATCGTGACAGAACATATTTGACGAGTTTCTGCTGTCAATGTTAAATGTCAAACTTATCTTGCTTTATTTTTTAATTCTATATCCAATTTTATTATTAGATATTATGCTCATTATGTGAGATTATATGATTCTTGTTTTTTTCGAGCTTTCATAAATTTCAGATGCAAGGCCACTAGTCCCTTCATCATGACGATTAGTTCATTTTAATTTATCAGTGAAGACTTATTCAATTGTTTGACAAGATACATTTATTTCTCATCCATTCTTCAGGTTTAATGAAATTTTAAACATTAAACTGGTCACAAATGTAGTTATAGCTTTTGAGCTCACTATGTCACACTATCAAGATTATTATAATACTAAAATGTACCTACACTCCACAGAATATATCAGTACATGTTTCCGAATGAATTAGCACCTTAACATATTTCAGTTGTCTGTCCCCAACGAAGGAAATCACAAAAATGACCTACAGAATTCTTCTATTACACCTGAGGTTTGAAGTGTAGCTTTAAAAGATATTTACAAATAAGAAGTGGGCTAGATTTTGTAACACTTATTGATGCGGATATAAATTAATATAATTAAGATAAATATCATTTGAATTTTAAGGAGTGCGCATGGCCATGAATAGTATTTAGAATACATGATGCTCTTAACACTCAAATACCTTTAAAATCTTGACAACAACGAACAGACAAAAATACAACCACGTCCCTCAGAATGGCCCCTCGAAACATGATCTCCCGTCAGATAATTCATCCTCAACTAGCATTGGCTGTGACACAGACGACATAATCCGCCTAAACATAAGTGGAGGTTACTTTGAGGTATCATTTCAAAATGTATTAATCAACAGCTGTTATATGCATTAGTATAATTAGTATGATTAGTATGATTAATATAATTAGTATACTTAGTGTAATTAGTATAATTACTTCTGCAGCTTCTTAAGGTGGTTAATCGTTACACCTCGATTTGTACAGAGCTATTTCAAATTTTCGTTCAATGATATTTTTCTATTGAACTTGTAGTTGTACCATATAATATTTGGTTTTTTGTTTGTTTTTGTTTTTGTTAATTCTCTTTCCGCATTAAAAGTAGACGGCACTCCTCGTATAATGAAAAAACAACAACAACGTTTTAAAGTTTCAAGGTAACCTTGTTACCTTGTAAACAGAAACCGGTAACTTTACAAGGTAACCTTGACGACATTAAGCAGATACAGCGATACATTGTTGGGTTCAGAAAATGATCTGAGGAAGTATTACTTGGAAGATAGGAATGAGTACTTCTTCGAGAGGAATCGACTTATTTTCAGGTTCTTCAATTCGTCTTAAAAATCAGACATTTTTGAGGAGAATTTCAAATCGACTATTTTTTATTTTGGTCCAAAGATAATTAATCGTTAGGAATCAGGAACCGTCCATATTCAGGTTTTCGATTTCTGAAATGAAATACAAAATACTTATTTTAAGATAATTTCGTTACTGGTTACATTGATGCTATTTATTTTTGATAATTGTTTAAGGAGGTGAAAGTAATAGTTTTTAATTCATTTCAGCGCAATACTATACTTCTACCAAAGCCAAGGAAAGTTCTACCGACCTACCTGTGTGACAGAAGAACAATTTTCGGAGGAAATTCGCTTTTTCAAACTTGAGGACCATTACGAAAAGTAAGGAAAAAAAACTTATTACTTAAGTTGGTGCAGTGGTATTGACATAATAACAGCTCAAAAATTCAACTCGAATACATATAATAGTAGATTGATTTAAATCAGTTTTAAATAATATAAAAGTTGTCAGAAGTGGGATTTGAACCCACGCCCCACATTCGTGGACCAAAATGTTCACTCGTACAGGTGGACTTTTTGAGACTTAGACCACTTTTCGAGCCTTAGACCACTCGGCCATCCTGACATGTTTTGATAAGAATTTACCACCTTTATACCGCTTATATAGAGCTTGCGTCATCATTTCGGAATGTCATGGAGTGTGAGTAGCTGCAGGTACGTGTATCTAATCAAGGTTGTTAATTACCTGAGGACCCCAGGCTTTAATGTTGGTAAACAACATTAAAGAAAAAACCGAATAGAGATTAGGCGGAATGACAGGCTGAGCGCGGCCCAGTAAGGTTGTTAAATACGTATTAGGAGGGAATACGTATTGGAATACGAATACGTATTAATCCTCGAAAATTGACGTATTACGAAAAGGTGTGTCGTACCTCGCAACCGGCAAGTTGTTACGCGGCTTTTGGCTTGAAGTTGAAATTGATCGCGGACGGTCTTTAAATTCTGAACATCAAAATCATTAAATATGTATTAATATGTAATTGATAATTTCGCAAAAAATGTTAGCTTATCGGATTATCCATGAAATTTGATTACAAATTTAAGTTATCATGTATAACTGCACTCCTTTAATGCATGATCAATGATGAGGGTGGCGCGCAGCTGTAATGTTTAATTTTGACAAATTAGCGTATTACGGCGTATTATGGGCAAGTTTCCATAAACGATATTTTATGATCGTCGCCGATAATCGCTTATTGAGCGCTTTTTCGGCGCTTTTTTAAAAAAAAACCGTTTACAATCGCTTTTTTTACGATTATAAACGGTTCAAAAAAAATCGCTTATAATCGACTATAATTGGTGTCATAATTCAAAAAAGCGCTTTTTTGAATTTAAAAGCGCTTATAAGCGCTTTTAAGCGCTTACTAGCGTCGCTGAGCGATTTGAAAGCGGTTTTCCAGTAGGATTAGCGCCAAAAACGGGTGGATAAGCGGTTGGCCGGATAAGCGATTCGTAGGCGCTTTTTTGAACCATTTATAAGCGATTATAAGCGCTTATAATTGGGGTGCAATTTAGCTGTTTGTAAAGCGCAAATAAAGCGCTTATAAGCGCTTTTAAAATTGAGTCAGGAAAACGCTATATTACATCTTACAACCGCTTATAATCGATTATAAGCGTTTTTTCAGAAATCGCTTATAACAGCTAATTCATCGCTATTTCACCGCTTTTACCGCTTTTCCTATCATCCATGGCCAGGTGAGCAGGAATTAAAAAGCGCTTATAAGCGCTTTTTCGATGCTGCCCCTAGCCTGGTCGGAACGGGGTAGTGCCCGGAATTTAAAAGCGCTTATAAGCGATTTCTCAATTCCCCTTAACCTGGTTGGAACTTTCATGTGCTTTTATGAGCAACCTGGGGTGCACAGGCAGAGTCAGGATTTAAAAGCGCTTATAGGCGCTTATGATCGCTTTTCTACCGCTTTTTCTATCACCCATGGCCTGGTTGGCAAGAATTATAAAGCGCTTATAAGCGTTTTTTCAATGCTGCCCCTAACCTGTTCGGAACAGGAGTGTGCCCGGAATTAAAAAGCGCTTATAAGCGCTTTTTCAATGCTGCCACTAACCTGGTCGGAACGGGGGAGTGCCCGGAATTAAAAAGCGCTTATAAGCGATTTCTCAATTCCCCTTAACCTGGTCGGAACTTGCATGTGATTTTCTGAGCAACCTGGGGTGCACCGGCAGAGTCAGGATTTAAAAGCGCTTATAGGCGCTTATGATCGCTTTTCTACCGCTTTTTCTATCACCCATGGCCTGGTTGGCAAGAATTATAAAGCGCTTATAAGCGTTTTTTCAATGCTGCCCCTAACCTGTTCGGAACAGGGGTGTGCCCGGAATTGAAAGCGCATATGATCGCTTTTCTACCGCTTTTCCTATCACCCATGGCCTGGTTGGCAAGAATTAGAAAGCGCTTATAAGCGCTTTTTCAATGCTGCCACTAACCTGGTCGGAACGGGGGAGTGCCCGGAATTAAAAAGCGCTCATTAGCGCTTTTTTAATGCTGCGCTTATAAGCGATTTCTCAATTCCCCTTAACCTGGTCAGAACTGGAAATCAGTGTGCCCGCTTATAGTTATAAGTGCTTTTCTGTGCAACCTGGGGTCACCGGCAGAATCAGGATTTAAAAGCGCTTATAGGCGCTTATGATCGCTTTTCTACCGCTTCTACTAAATCGCTTGCCCAAATTTTAAGGAAATTCTTGTGAAAAGGCCCTTTGGGGCATGAAAATGATCTATATATGTGTATTTTTGGACGCTGATTCCGAATCACCCCCCATGACGTAGGGTTAAAATGCTTCCCTGGAGAGTTATGGGCAAAAATCCGTTTTGGTCACGTGACAGGCTAGGCTAGTAAAATACGAATTCGATTGTTTAGGGCCCGGGTTAGGGTTAGGCTTGTGGAACGGGTTATGGTTAACTTCGGGGTTATGGTTAGGGTTAGGGTTGGGATTAGGATTTATGTAAAACCGTTTTGTACGGCTGCAAAACCATAAAAACCAAAGTCACGTGAAATTTTTGGGCGAGCGAATTAGTAAAAGCCGAGTTGGACTCCAATATATGGAACAAATATTTTACGAGTGTCACCCGTCAATTCTCGCAATCACGTTCAACATTGCGCTTCGCACAAATACGGCGCGCGCTAACATTGACTCTTAAAATAATCGGATTGCTTTAATGTTTAAGTACCCGGGTTTTTACGCTTGCAGTGGCGCCCCACCTCCCGGTGACACAGAGGCGGTACTTGTGCGAAAAAATGTTTGCAGCCTGGGCACGGATCTAAGCAATTTTATATTGGGTGTCAAAATTTTGTCCTCATATCTGCAATCTGACGTCGCGCGTGGCAACATGAATACTGCGGGCGCGCGCACGAAGGCGAGTTGATGCTTTTCTTTACTTGTGAAACAAGTGGCGCGAATTTTACCAGGTGACCCCAAGCTAGTATGTTCATAAGCATAGCCTGGCGTAATTAAACCCTCTAAAACGCGCAAATAGGCGTGTTTATGCGATTTTACAATCAAATAATCAGATTTTACAATCTAACTCAGCGCGCGGCTCTTGTAGTGCATACGTCACTTCTTTTTTATTGGTAGTTGGCGTGCACGTGATCTTTTGCGCGGCTCTAATTGGTTCTGAACGATCACGTGAATGCTAGTCCAATGAGCATTCGCACTTTTTTAGGGCGATGAAAGTCGTAATTCACTCAGCCCGAATAAAGATTTGGCGGAATGCAGATAATGACAGGCTGAGCGCCGCCCAGTAACGCGAATTGTAAGCACCCTGTCACCCGATCTTAAGGTGACGTACGACACTTCGTTTAACAAACTAATTAAAACGTTTTTTGTTTCCCGCTAGGCTCATTGGACCAGGTGAGCTTGCATGCTTGTGAATGTGATTGTAAGTACAGCTGTACTGTAGTTTATACCTAATTACCCCTACTGCAGAAACTGCAAAGTGCGGGAAATTTTGGGAACCAATATATGGTTGCCAAAATCGATGGAGGGTTGGCGGCTAGATCAAAGCTCAACGGCTTTGGATTAGGGGTGGACGATAAAATAAACTTGCTCAGATTTTAAAATTTTTTTGTAACACTGTTTTCTAGAGACTGTGAGAATTTTCACAATACCAAATTTGTCATACCTTTTTGGAAAGATCAGTGAGTTTCGCCTCACTAGCTGGGTGCCATTTGCTCTATCCAGAGCCCTTGCGCTTGCAGTAGCGCGCGCCCACTCACTTCTTGACGTACTTGTTGCTTGTGAAACAAGCGCGCCCGAAGTGGCGCGAAAGCACATGGTTAGGTAATGGGAAAAGCGGTAGAAAAGCGATCATAAGCGCCTATAAGCGCTTTTAAATCCTGACTCTGCCGGTGCACCCCAGGTTGCACAGAAAAGCACTTATAAGCGGGCACTCTGATTTCTAGTTCCGACCAGGTTAAGGGGAATTGAGAAATCGCTTATAAGCGCTTATTAATTCCAGGCACTCCCCCGTTCCGACCAGGTTAGGGGCAGCATTGAAAAAAAGCTTATAAGCGCTTTATAATTCTTGCCAACCAGGCCTTGGGTGATGGGAAAAGCGGTAGAAAAGCAATCATAAGCGCCTATAAGCGCTTTTAAATCCTGACTCTGCCGGTGCACCCCAGGTTGCTCAAAAAAGCACATGCAAGTGGGCACTCTCCAGTTCCGACCAGGTTGAAGAGAATTGAGAAATCGTTTATAAGCGCTTTTTAATTCCGGGCACACCCCCGTTCCAAACAGGTTAGGGGCAGCATTGAAAAAACGCTTATAAGCGCTTTATAATTCTTGCCAACCAGGCCATGGGTGATAGAAAAAGCGGTAGAAAAGCGATCATAATGCTTTTTAATCCTGACTCTGCCAGTGCACCCCAGGTTGCTCAGAAAAGCACTTATAAGCGGGCACTCTGATTTCCAGTTCCGACCAGGTTAGGGGCAGCATTTAAAAAGCGCTTTTTTATTCCGGGCACTCCCCCGTTCCGACCAGGTAAGGGGCAGCATTGAAAAACGCTTATAAGCGCTTTATAATTCTTGCCAACCCATGCCATGGGTGATAGGAAAAGTGGTAGAAAAGCGATCATAAGCGCCTATAAGCGCTTTTAAATCCTGACTCTGCCGGTGCACCCCAGGTTGCTCAGAAAAGCACATGAAAGTTCCAACCAGGTTAAGGGGAATTGAGAAATCGCTTATAAGCGCTTTTAAATTCCGGGCACTACCCCGTTCCGACCAGGCTAGGGGCAGCATCGAAAAAGCGCTTATAAGCGCTTTTTAATTCCTGCTCACCTGGTCATGGATGATAGGAAAAGCGGTAAAAGCGGTGAAATAGCGATGAATTAGCCGTTATAAGCGATTTCTAAAAAAACGCTTATAATCGATTATAAGCGGTTATAAGATGTAATATAGCGTTTTCCTGACTCAATTTTAAAAGCGCTTATAAGCGCTTTATTTGCGCTTTACAAACAGCTAAATTGCACCCCAATTATAAGCGCTTATAATCGCTTATAAATGGTTCAAAAAAGCGCCTACGAATTGCTTATCCGGCCAACCGCTTATCCACCCGTTTTTGGCGCTAATCCTACTGGAAAACCGCTTTCAAATCGCTCAGCGACGCTAGTAAGCGCTTAAAAGCGCTTATAAGCGCTTTTAAATTCAAAAAAGCGCTTTTTTTGAATTATGACACCAATTATAGTCGATTATAAGCGATTTTTTTTGAACCGTTTATAATCGTAAAAAAAGCGATTGTAAACGGTTTCTTTTTAAAAAAGCGCCGAAAAAGCGCTCAATAAGCGATTATCGGCGACGATCATAAAATATCGTTTATGGAAACTTGCCGTATTATGGCGTATTCGTGGACGTATTTAACAATCCATATAAATTACCGTATTACGGCGTATTACGACGTATTCTTTATTAGAACCGAATACGTCGTATTCTTTCACGAAAATTTGACGTATTTGACAACCTTGTATCTAATGTCATCCCTTCATGAATAATATAGTATAGATCGCCTGTTGCATATAATTGTGGAAATGAGCTAATTAAGGTCAAGGATACAATTTTGATAAAAGTTTGAAGGGTGTTCTCAATTTTTTTAACATATAATAGTAGATTGTTTAAAATGCGGTTAAAAAAAGGAATTTGTCAGAAGTGGGATTTGAACCCACGCCCACATTCGTGGACCAGAGTTTGAATCTGGCGCCTAACCACTCGGCCATCCTGACATGTTTCAATAATAATTTTGCAGATTTTACACCACTGAATAGAGCCTAGAGTCACTTTATCACTTTTCCATACATGGATTTTGAGTAGCTGCAGGTATTTAATGTTTTTTTTTTCTTTCTGCAACCAAAAAAATCAGTTAAACTTATCGAATTATTCGAATGCCAAGACAACAGCCAAGACAAACTTCTGTTTCATAACAGTGCATAGGATTCATTTTTCAGATATGTAGAGAACATGGATGATGAAGATAAAGATTCGATCTCAGACGCAGATAAAACCTTTTTACGGAAATGTTGGGATTTCTTCGAAGAACCTGACTCTTCTAAAGCTGCACGTGTATGGGCTATTCTTGATGTTTTGGCCATTACTCTAGCAGTTGCCCTCTTTATCGTGGAGACAATGCCAGAAATCAAAAAAGCCATTGATTCAAAGGAGCCAAACAGCCAGAAAACGACCTTCAAAATAATAGAAACAGTTTGTATCATGTTCTTCACTATTGAGCTCATCGCTAGATTCATCTGCTGTCCTGACAAGTTTCTCTTCATAAAGACTGCCATGAACTGGATAGACTTAGTCACTGTCCTGCCGTTCTTCATACAGTTTATGACAGCAGAGAATAAAGGGGGAGAAGCTCTTGTAGTTTTGAGGGTTCTAAGAGTGATTAGAGTCCTAAAGCTTGCAAGGCATTCCAAAGGTAAGAATACTTTCTTGATATGTCATTAGTTAAAGTCAAAACTTAAATAATGTTGCAGAATCATTAATTGCAGGTTCTTGTATATAGACTCGTAAACGACCGAACGACGTGAAACCGAACTTCGGTCTCATACTTCGGTCACCGAAGTATTAAACTCCAATGAGTGCATCTTTCCTATGGAGAATTTGAGATACAAAATGATAGGTTACATATTTTATTGCCAGCATTAATTAAAAGATAGACTAGTGATTACATATCAGTCAGTATTTATATACGGTCACTGACAGGCGCATATAACTTTAATCCGTCCGCGCATATAACTTAGACGGATTCCTGTTAGTTACTTTAAGTTGATTGAACGCTCTTGTGAACTACAACAGATTACACTTCCATAGGTATTGTGATAGTAACAAAGACTCTAGCAGCCAGTGTAAACGAGTTAGCACTCTTACTTTTCTTCTGGTTCATAGGAGTTATCATATTCGGTTCTATAATGTACTACTTGGAATTCAAAGAAGACTTGGTTGGTTCCGCAGACGAGAGCAAGTTTAGATCCATACTAGAGGTATACTTGATTAAATAGCAGTATATTTCTATCACCATTTACTGAAAGTTAAGCTAATAAGTTATTATTGTGCTAGTATAGTACTAAAGCAATCACAGTTACTTTCTCAGAGCTCGTGGTGGGCAGTAGTGACAATGAGTACTGTTGGGTATGGAGACATGGTTCCTCTAACCCCATTCGGTAAGTGTGTTTTAATAAAGCGATCCTTTTGTTCCTTGATAATAATATGCGTTGTGTGTAATGGTGATTTGATGTTAGTTACTGATTCGAATTGCACTGTAAATTTCCATGCATTAATTGGGTTAATAACTTTTACTCTTCCAGGAAAATTGATAGCCTCAATCTGTATGATGTTCAGCATGATAGTGATCGCGCTCCCAGTAACGGTGATTGTCAGCAAATTTACAAGAGTCTATGCTAAATACAAGGACAAACTATGAGACCTAAAAAACGAATGAAAAACAAGCCTTGCAATTATCTACAGAATATATTGAGTATATTTATGCTGTATAGTTGATTCCTCATTAACATAATGTATATAAATAGATACATGGTGACAAGGAAACTACTACACCGATTTTCTTATTCGAAACTTACTAAACAGAAGAAAACAAAAAAATGTGGAATCTTGACTTTTTTACTTTTAGCATGTAGATTTTAGAGCGTGCTTTTGCAGAACTATAATCATATGATGTTCATACACTCTATATATACATGAAATATATATATGGAATATTCATATCGCGTGCTTAAAAGTTTGAGTTCATATTTTTCTAACGTCATGCATTATAGTTCAACCATTCATGCAGGCCTCAACAAGTTTAGATGGTCATGTTCAAAGCAAACAGGAGAACGACAAGAAGAGCGCTCAATTTGTGGGCAACTGATTGAGAGTATTTGTGTTCAGACTTTGTCTCGTCTCCGTCTGTCTCGTCTCCGTCTGTCTCGTCTCCGTCTGTAAGTAAATAATTTACTAAATTCAGTAAAATATAACGCAGGCAATAACAGCTAATATTGGGCTAAAATGTTTAAAAACATCTGAGCTATAACTACAAGCAGAGGATTAGCTAAATTAAACGGCTTAGGTCGCAGCTGACATGAGTGTGATGCACAACTTTCTACAGTACGAACATTTCATTTGTCATTTGCTTCATTGTGTAACACAACAACAAGGGAATGAAACCCAAATAACTAAATTTGACTTACTCTCTGTGCAGTCACTTTCAGCTAATCCCAATCCTGCGCCCACGTGAGTTCCTGCTGGACAAGGTGTGCAGGCAGTATCGCCGGCGTCTGCACTCCAATGATCTGCAGGACACTCTTGGCAATCAGCATCAGCATCCAAGTAATGGCCCCAATAGCATGAATCTGAAAATTTGGAATTTATAATGGTTTAACATAATATGTTAAAGCATGACAACATATGCGGAAAAGTAATATGAAACGGTAGTTCTAAAACCGAACCAAACCAAACTCGATTGAAAACAAAAACCTTCATTATAGCATATGGTATGTATATTGTATACCCAGACCCTGTAATTATATGATAGCCATGATCTAGTATACAATCATAATATACATTATTATATAGTATATAATCCCGTTCATGATTAGAAATGACTTGATTTGTAATACTTGCACACAAGAGAGTAAATCAAACAGTTTGGTAGATATTATATCGCAAAAATGTTCCGCTGCAAGTAGCCTTGTCATTGTTCCAGAATGTCCAAGCAACACTGGCATAAAAACTGACTTAATCAGTCCTATAATTTGTCTGGTCCTAGTCTGGCAAACCAAGCAGTTTGATTCTGCTCTACGGATCAGAGGCTTTAATTTTTGCGGCCAAATTCCAAAATTTTATTACAAAAATTCAGAATTTGGCCGCCAAATTTTTTTAGGCCTAAATCAAAAATTCGTTCTCAAAATAAGGTTGAAATACGATTTTGAGTCGATTCCGAAAATTTCATGCAAAAATTTTGAAAACTCATGGAGTTGTTATGATTCAATTCCGCGAATATCGCAAACCGAGATATGGGCAATTTAGTTCATTTTTTGTGGTTTTTTCGCCTTAGTATCCATATTTAAACAGAAATAAAGCTGTAACCTACAGAGAATATGTAGTTTAGGCTTATCTTTCATAAAAAGTAAGTTTCATTCAAAAATATTGATATTTGACCAATTTATGGGACGAAATCTACCAAATTTGGTGCGTATGCCCAAATATGGGCATATGGTTTTTGGCTCATAACTCAGTCATTTTTTGTCCAATCTTGATGAAATTTCATATACGAGTTCAAGAGACCACTAGCTACAAGTAGAGCACCATAAACCTGGGTTTTGGGCACGTTCAGGGTATTTGGCTAAATTGGGCCTAATTTGGACCAAATATGGGCGTGGCTGCCCTTCGCGCACCGTTTGGCGGTTGGGGTCCGGGACCCCCTCAAAAGTTCGGTCACTGGTCTTAGTTTGTTGGTCAACTGCTATCTCGAAATCAAGTTTCACAAAAAAATACCCATAAATATATAATAATAATATTAAAAAATACCCAAAAATTGTGTCAAAAACGCGAATTAGATAGGTAATAATTATTTTAGTCTCTTGAGTCTTGACACCACTTTAGAGTAAGACAGGTTCCTGTTAGTTACAATAAATCGGGATATTGTTATAAAAAGGAGACCCTATATTACTGGTAGTTCTGAAGCTCCACTCCCACACCACCCCACCCAACCCCACTCCCACATCACCCCACCACCCCACCCAACCCCACTCCCACCACCCCACCACTCCCACCCACTCCCACCCAACCCCACACCACCCCACCACCCCCACCCAACCCCACTCTCACACCACCCCACATCCCCTTTTTACAGTTAATTTATTAGGTATAACTGTATAAGCTTATAAGGTACCACCTATACCTAATTTATAATATATACCTAGATGGTAACCGGAAAACCCTCCCTGCCATGAGTTAAATCCCAGCAGATCAATCTCTTCTGTCCAGTAATTTTTCCAGTTTGAGTAAGCACATGTATCGTCTGAGATGAGTAAGTTGATCACTTCCACTCCGTTGACCTGGACTTTAATGGACGGTTGTGCTCCTGTGGTGACAAGAATACTCCACAATTTCGCAGTTTCAGTACTGGGCATGTTCGCGGGAAAAGGGGTAAGACCGGTCTGGCAATTGTTTATCTTGTAAGTATCTTGTTGATCCTGGATAAGGTTCACGATTAACCCCCCTTGCTTTTCTTTTCCCGCATAGAAATCCACGATGAGTTTTGCATTTCTATTATTTTTTTTGTAATCATTAAGGTCAGTTTTTATCTGTATTGCAGTTCTCTCGAAGCTGTGTGGAATAGCTGTTTGCCCTTGTGACCCCATAGCATCAAGCAGGACTGTTTTCCATTGTATCTCTGTGAAAATTAATCTGTTTAGTTGATTTAGCTAGGGACTCATGGTACAGACTGCCCACCGGCAAAACTCTTTAAAAGACAAAAGTACGTGCGAATACACAATTATACAATTCTTTGAATCTGTTTTAATCGAGAGACCAAGAAACTCATGTTAAGGACTCAGGGCCTTGGGTACTGGGTAACATTTGATACCTGATTTCACTGTGTCGAGTGATGATAAAGCAAGAATTACTGCTATTGGATAGATCATCTCAGCTTCTTTGCCGATACCTACAATATTGATTCATGTAAATTTCAGAAAAAAATTAAAACAATTCTGGTTAAAATTGTATCATATGAAGATAAAAGTGAATCGTAGAAAAGAATTCGCAATATCAGTAGACAGGAATCAGATAAATCAAAAATTAACAACGCTTTTGCAATCAATGTTCCTTATGGGCATTTTCTGCTCCGGATCCCGAGGGTCCAAAGGAAGTTTTGGAATTTCTCAACCTGTGTATATCTATAGAATTAAAAATACTATATTTTAAACTTGACGAAATCCCCCTGGCAACGGGGACAAAACACTGAAAATCGACCTAAAATGACCCTCTGGTGTCAACAATTTCAGCTCGCAAATGGAGTTGAAACCTCGCCATTTTTAGCATAGCAGGGTTGTAAAAAAATGATAGGAATAGGCTATATTATATATATTATATAGCATTCTTAGAATTTTGATTAAGGCTTTAGCTTTTCTATAATTAACGTCAGAAGTGAGTTAAAATAAACGTTAGAATAATGTTGTTATTTTAGCAAAGGTAAATGGCGTCGACCGTTGCTTAGCAACATCAAGAAATTGCACGTGCGCGAGCAAGAACAGATTAGCAACACGAGTTGCCATGCTTTATGATACGTCATATAAACTTCGCAACTAGATCACAACTGACAACTAGCTCACATTTACGCTCACGCCATGACTATATAAATATTTATAAGTTTGGTTGTGATTCATATTTCTCGATGCGGTAGAGTAGAAAGTGTTTTTTAGGGAATTTGAATATTTACAACTTTGTCGTCATTGTCAGATAAAATCCATGAGTTCTACAGTATAAGTATAACAGAGCTGTATGATAAAAATAAATTAAAACATAATTACTGATTTTTAAAATTTCCTCGAACAAAGTTTTCGACTTGCGGGTTTCTAGTAAAGATATAATACATGCGGGAAAAATTATTTTCGAACTCTGAAAAACAAGTGAGAAGATCAACGAAGCTATAACTCTATAAAAACACGACACACATCACCACTCACCAATCACGAGAAGAGCTAGCAGTGATTTAACTGTTTAGGGAACCAGTAACGAAATTTATGAAATAGCAGACCATCTAAATCTAATTGGTCTGCGAGAGCTCTAAACCAATTATTGTTTCCTTCAAAGCTTCAAGAAAACCTTGTTAGTTTGTTTATATTATACTTCATCGGTACTGGTATAGCAGCTAAAGACACGTCACCAATCACGATCAGAAGAGCTAGCAGTTATCTAGGGAACCGGAAACGAAAAATGAAATAGCAGACCATCTAATTGGTCTGTGAGAGCTCTAAACCAAATATTGGTTCCTGGTTAGTTTGTTTATACTATGAAACAGACAGAGTATGAACTATAATGATCAAATTTCGTTTCCTCTTACGTTTGTGACCTTACGGTTGATGTACTCACGCCCCAGAAAATTTCTGAATATTTTCCAAAAATAAGCAATCTGAGCTTTTATGAGTGAATTACCTTTATACAGTTTATACTTTTATAGTGCTGCAACATAAACATGTGCATTGCGGTCATTTTAAGCTAAAGTTTTAGTCTCTAAGACCTTCAAAAGCTGAAATACAAATTTCTCATATACGATCCTGATATATATGAAATATGGGCGCGGCTCCACAGGGTTGGGACTACTACTAGTGACAGTGACACAACATGCGACCCTCGGTGCAGTGATTTGAGTTACCAATGACCCTTATTTAATCATATTCATTATTCATTAGCAAAAAACTCTATACATCGGTCATCGAAGTGCACACTCAACTCCTCCCTGCTACTACTACTAGCTGGAGTAAGATCAAAAGTGACTGTGAAGAGCTAAAGGCAGAGCTATTAAAAGTTTAGGATGATGATTAATCACTCTACACTCGACTGTCACGTGACTTTTTCAACCCTTTCTCTAGCTGGTTCTGAACGACTTTTCGAAACCCTAACCCTCTAATCTGATCCCAACCCTAACCCTAACCCAATCCTTAACAAAAACATATGCTGAAACCCTAACCCTAACGCGAAATTAGACTAACTTCCTTATACGGTCATATCACGTGATCGAGACAGTTTTTCGCCATGAATATCTCGTCAGGGGAGCATTTTAACCCTATGTCATGGGGGGTGATTCGGTTACAACCGTCGGGGGCCCTTTTAGAACAATCTCGAAGATCGACTGTAGAGTGATTTAGCACGCTCGAAAAGTTTAATTCAAAATATTACCCCAGGCTATTTTATTTTATATGCTCATAATATCATAAAGATTCGGCGGAATGGCTGAGCACCGCCCAGTAAGATTGAACTGAAATATAAAACGCTCGGCTCTATAAATCTAAATGAGCAGGCAGCTGATCAACTTGATCTCACATGTGAGAATTCAGAATATGCATTCTCACAATTAGGGACCGACCGGATATCCGGCTGAATCCGGATCCGGTCGGATATCCGGCTTCAATATCCGGTTCCGGCTCCGGCTCCGATTTCAAAAATTTTTGCCGGATATTTCTTTTTAAAAAATGTATTTCTAAAATCTTGAAATGCATATTTTTCGTCACATTTTAACTCAAATCCCTAAAAATCAAAACTTTTTTCACTACACTTAGAAAAACCGAAAAATATTTTTGGCTAATAATGAACAGAGTACCTACTAATAGTAGGTAGTGCGCCATCGACATTGAGCCGCGCGTGCCGACTGTAGCCGTAGGATGGTTTTTTAGCGCTAATTTCGGCCAGCACAATTTTCTTCAATCAAATAGATATTAAGTATCCTTCCCGACCTCCAATTGCAACAAAAATTGGTAAGCTTACTTATAGACTTACAAGGAAAGTGTCCGAAAAATTTAAAGCATATCCAACCATCAGACATTATGTTACAGCTAAAAGCAGCGTATTTTGCCCCATTTTGATCACTATATCAACTCCGATATCCACCAAATTTTTCGGACAGTTGTAAAAGCCCTATTGGAAGGTCGTCGCCAATTTCCAGAATGATCTCATTCAAGGAACTGAAGATAAATCCGAATAATACGACAAAAATGGTCAAATTTGGACGAATTTGGTCAAATTACGCGACTTTTACAGCCACTTTTGGGATTTTACTAATTCACTCGCCAGCGCGCTATCACGTGTTTTTAATGCCGTGATTTCATTGGTCACCTCAATAACGCGCATTATTTGTGACAGCACAGTTGTTTTCACACAATTTGTCCACCGCGCGTGCAATAAACTCAATTTAAGCTCCGATTTGTGACCGAAATGGCCGAATGGGCTATAATATGGTTTATGCAATGCATGGCCGGTAATTAGCTAATTGAATTTTAGGCACTGTAGGTTGCATAAATTCACGAATTATCAATAATATGCAATAAAATTATTCCTGCAAGTTTTAATTCATTTAAGGTTTTATAGATCTTGTTGGTCAAGGGTAAAATATAAGCAGTATAATAAATCAATATCGAATTGTTTTCAGTTTTTCATCGCGAACAGATACCACTATTTCAAGTTGTTACACGGCCAAGGATAAATCTCACAATTGTTTAGATTTGTAGCTCTGTTTATCAACGGTGAGATTTCTGAAAAGGGCAATTGAAATTGAAATCGATTTGACTCTTAAACGTGCTTCAGCTCCAACTGTTAAATAGATCCACATTCTACATTCTACCAGATTCTTATCTACCTAGATTCTACCATAATATATAGTCGATATATTATATACGTATACCAGAGCACGTCACATTTCAATAATTTTACAATATGTTATTTTATCAGCTACATATGTTCGAAGGATTAAAACACTTTTATGACGGTGCTGTTAGAATAACAGAATATTTACGCTATAAAACAGTTGACATCAAGAATATTATAACATTACCAAACTAAGTAAAAAATAACAACTGTCCAATGTCCTAACCATGAACCTGACCAAAAATGTCAGTAAATATCAGTTTATTCGAAATCACAGTCATATCACTATGAAGACCCGTGTATTAGCCCGGTAGGTGAGGTATAATAGAGCCGGCCAGCCCGGTAGGTGAGGTCCAGTAGTTGCCCGGAGGCGGTGTAGATTTGGGTGATGAGGTCTCCTCCTGACACGTTGTACATTCCTTTGTGTGGTTCCTCCTTCTCTCCTTCCTCTTCTAGAATATCTGAGGGGGGAGGGTGATCACAGAGTAGGGAATGTATAATAAGGGATATTTTATAGTAGTGCTGTCACGTGACAAAAATGAGCTCTCGTTCGTTCATTACTTAGCCACGACCTGTCGACCGTTTTTGGAGAGGTTTATTAACTACTTCTATCTTACTCACTATAATTACTACAGTATTAGATCAGGGTCAGAGACGGGTTCAATATTAGGATATATAAGCTACAGGAAAAGAAGATTAATTTTTATTAACGGCACTCTTCCCACAAACACCACGTACCGGGAAGAACAAGTCTAATTTTAGAGGTTGGTTTCCATCCAGCCACATCAGTGCTCTGAATAACAGCAGGACGTTGATGTTCCATGGTCTGGACTAGCGTACCACTTTTCCACCCTGGGGTGAAACAAGAGCTCCAGCTCGTACAAACTGCAGTCTTTACCAGTGGAAGACTTGAGGACTGAGGAGTTCTATCAGTTTCTCTATCAGAAGGATTAGGTCCTTGTAGGAGCTGGAGCTAGCAGGGAGGTCTCCGTACATGCCTGACCAATATGTTAGTTTGAGAAATACACAAACAATCATCAGTTTAACAAAACAATTATTACACCAAACAATTATTAATAAAGTGAGGTTATAACTGTAAGCTTGTTACACCCCGCAATATCACTACCGTCCGGAACAATAATTGTTTTAAGTTATGATATTAAGTTTAACATAAGTTAATAGAATATTATTATATAAGTTACGATCGATTGTAACAAACCTGCAACATGACATTATTACAGGGAAGCCTCCGGGTGGAAAAACTCAGTACCATGGGGGGACTTCTGGCAACGTTCCAGGAACTTCTT